TTGAAATATATCAACCTTGATGGTTTGTTATAGTGCTGGAACTGAATGCTAGTAGGGCACTTAAAGATACATTATGGGAGATTAGATAAAGAGCTGGCAGTTCTCACTATAATAGTTAAAGATAGGTTGCCAGGCAACAAAACATACGCCCACAGCAGCTAAATCGTTCGAGCAGTCGACAAGGGTTGTCGCATATTTATTCTTTTATAGGTAATTAGGGGCATTTAATAGACAATTTCATATAGGTGACATTATAATTTTCGTCGTTTGAGGGCACACAAGGTTCTAAAAACTAAAACAAAGGCCATAACTCTGGAAGTAATTGACGGAAATTGCTGAAATTCAATAGACTTCTTCGTTTCACTAATTTAAATGATGCATATAAATTTCATACAGATCGGATGATAACTGTTGTCATTAGAGCGTTCACAAGATTCAACAAAGTGAAACAAGGGCCAAAACTCTAGATGTAACTAACGGAAATTGCTGAAATTCAATAGATGATCAGATGACAACTTTTGTTGTTAAGAGTGTTCACAAGGTTTAACAAAGTGAAACAAGGGCCATAACTCTAGACGTAATTAAAGGAAACTGCTGAAATTCAATAGGCTTTTTAGTTTCACTAATTCAAATAATGCATATAAATTCCATACAGATCGGATGATAACTTTTGTCGTTGGAGCATACACAAGGTACAACAATTAACAGACATTGCTGAAATTCAATAGGCTTTTTCGTTTCTCTAATTTAAATGATGCATATAAATTTCATACAGATCAATTGATAACTTTTGTCATTAGCACGTTGACAAGGTGCAACAAAGTGAAACAAGGGCCATAACTCTAGAAGAAATCAACAGAAGTTATTGAAATTAAATAGTCTTCTTCATCTCACTAATGCAAACAACATATATCAATTTCAAAACAATCAGATGATAAATGTAGTCTGTAGAGTGTTCACAAAAAATTGTGGACGGACGGATAGGGGCAACGGCAATATACGACCACATTTCCATGTGGGCGTATAAAAACTAGATAATGTAAAGAGAATTTGTTGAAAATTTCAGTCAAATTGATCCATTCTGAACCAAGATTTTAACAATTGAATTTTCGGCCTAGACTCGATCATCATTACTTAAGTCGGTATGATAAAAAACATAGTCTCGGTTATCCATTTCATGATTAAATCATGAATGAAAGTTGAGCAGCATATCGGATCCTAATCCAATAAATATCGCATTGACATTGAGAGTTGATTGTGGTCTGGACAAGTTAATTAATGTCTAATTAATAATTTAGATAACATTTCAGGCCCAAAGAAAGACCTGTGATAGGCAGATTTAGCTCTTGCATAATGTATGTTTAACCAACAAAGCATTAGTGACAATGTCAGGCTGTACAATGCATTACAGACCAACGATTATTCATTGGTGATGGAAAATCACCAACAACCTTGGTGTACAGGCCTTTTAACTCTAAACCTGTACAATGCACTACAGACCAATAATTATTCATTCGTGATGGAAAACCACCAACAAACTTTGTGTACTGGCCTTTTTACTCGAAAACTAACCCTTGATATGTTAAGAAATAGTTCTAATAACGTCAATTTTTACCTTCTTCATCAAGAGGAATTCCATTCTCATCAAAAACATTTAAACCTACATCACAACTAGTTGCACATTGATTCATTGTGTTATTTTGATTTAAATAACACTCACATATATTACATTTAAGACCGCATGAGCATACATTAATCATATCAACACTTTAATCCAAACAGTTTATCAGTTGATATGATATAACTTCCACATTAATAATCTGATCATAATTTGCACATGCTTACATTTATATAATCAACAGTTTAAAACATCATTCTAAATCACATATCTATCCACTGTTTCATCAGTTATAATTAATTTACACTTCACAGGCATACACAATACACAGTTTTATTGTTGTTATCAAATTAAGCAGGCACAAATCCTTGTATTCCAGTGATTAGAACTCTTCCAGATAATATTAACCGAAATAACATCTTTTATCCGCAAGGGTATATCCATCAGATAGGTTTCCACAAAATCCAACATAGCAAATTCTTTTCCTTTTAGCATATGAAATTTATATTATATATAAAATTTAAAAAGTTCAAACAGTTTATAATACTGAGAATACTAGATATGATGGCCAGGTCAGATAGTGAGTTGTCACTTCCTGTTAAAAGCCTAGTATTTGATACTGTAACATAAGAAACTACATGTATATATAGTATTTGTAAATTTAGATGAGGATCTTTAAATATAAATCTGTTACAGACAATTGGAATTTGAAATATTAATCTCCTCAAATAACCAATGAATCACTCCTTTTTACATTCAATAATAAAAATGTACTTGGGAGCCCAGAATCAAATTCTCCACTAAAATAAAATCATGACAAGTACTTTCCACAAAGCTTTATGTTTTTGAAAATAAAAAACAGAAATCTGTTATAATCAACCTATGGTGGCTTTATATCCCATATTTCCTTTCCTAAAGTTACACCCATTAATCTAGACGGTAAACTTTAATTCCTTTTTTGTGTCAAGATTTAAAACTTTTATGTTTTATAACATTTTGTATCTATTCATATCCATTACATTTAACGAAAAAATGAGTCCATTGATTTAAAACATAGGTTGCCAGGCAACGAAACATACGCCCACAGCGGCTAAATCGTCCAAGCGGTCGACAAGGGTTGTCGCATATTTATTCCTTTGTAGGTAATTGGGGGCCTTTACAAGACAGTTCCATACAGGGTCTCAACTCTGGAAGTAATCTACAGAAATTGTTGAAATTTGACAGGCTTTTTCGTTTCACAAATTTAAATGATGCATATAAATTTCATACATATCGGATGATAACTTTCATCAATCTAGCATTAACAAGCTTGAACAAAGTCAAACAAGGGCAATAACTCTAGAAGTAATAAACTGAAATTGCTGAAATTCAATAGGATTCTTCTCTTTACTAATTTAAATGACGCACGTAAATTTCATACAGATCAGCATATAACTTTTGATGTTAGAGCATTCACAAAGTTCAATAAAGTGGAACAAGGGCCATAACTCTAGACGTAATAAACAGAAATTGCTGAAATTCAATAAGCTTCTTCGTTTCACTTATTTAAATAATGCATATAAATTTCCGAAAGACCGGATGATAACTTTTGGCGTAAGAGCGTCACAAGGTTCAATAAAGTGAAATAAGGGCCATAACTCTAGACATAATACACAGAAATTGCTGAAGTAATAAACGAAAATTGCTGAAATTCAATAGGCTTCTTCGTTTCCCTAATTTGAATATTGCATATAAATTTCACAAAGATCGGATGTTAACTTTTGGCATTAGAGCGTTCACAAGGTTCAACAAAGTGAAACAAGGGCCATAACTCTAGACATTATAAACGGAAATTATTGAAATGAAATAGGGATCTTCATCTCACTAATGTAAACAACATATATCAATTTTAAAACAATTGGATGATAACTTTTGGCGTTAGAGCGTTCACAAGAAATTGTGGACGATGGACGGACAGACCGACGGACGGACCGACGAACGTACGGGGGGCGACGGCAATATATGTTCACATTTCTATGTGGGCGTATAAAACCAGCGGCTGCCAGGCAGGATAGGCCCACATTTTCGAGAGATGGATAGAGAACAGGCTAAAAAGAAAGTGATTTTTCCTACAATCAAGGGCCATAATTCAGGAAATTACAATTCGATATGCGTGAATATTGAAAGGAACCAAGATCTTTGGGTTATAAACTTACATTTCAAGTTTCATCAAAATCGGATAAAAATTGTGACCTCTATAGGGTCCACAACCTTGATATACCATATTTTTACGCTATTTGAGAACAAAGGGCGGCCATTTAGTCTGTCAGTTTTGGGCCGATTTTCACGAAATTCGAACTCAGTCATGCTTAGGGTCTAACAGTGATATAATAATAACTTTTTCTCAATCGGATAAAATTTATGACCTCTATTGGGTCCACAAGCTAAAAACGTGATTTTTCGTACAATCAGGGGCCATATATCAGGAAGTTACGGTCCGATATTGGCGAATATCGAAAAGAACAGAGATCTTTGGGTTATAAACTTACATTTCAAGTTTCAACAAAATCGGATAAAAATTGTGACCTCTATAGGGTCCACAACCTTGATATACTCAGCCGTCCTTAGGGTGTAACGGTGATATAATAATACGTTTTTTTAAATCAGATAAAAATTATGACCTCTATAGGGTCCACAAGCTAAAAACGCGATTTTTCGTACAATCAGGGGCCATAATTCAGGAAGTTACTTTCCGATATGCACGAATATTGAAAGGAACCAAGATCTTTGGGTTATAATCATACATTTTAAGTTTAAACTAAATCGGATAAAAATTGTGACCTCTACAGTGTTCACAAGCTATAAACATGATTTTCCCACAATCAGGGGCCATAATCCATGAAGTTACAGTCCGATACATGCCAATAACTTAGGGGGATAAACCTATATTTCAAGTTTCGTTGACCTGTAGACTGTTCACAAACAGTTGTGGACGGACGTCCGGACAGACAGGGGCGACGACAATATACGTCCACATGAAAATGTGGGCATATAAAAATTGTTGAATATCTGTAGGCTTTTTCGTCGCATGACCTTAAACAATGTCTATTAATTTAAAGTCAATCGGATATTAACTTTAGCCTAGAGCATCTACAGGATATTGTAACGTTTGGCGGACAGACAGGGGCGACAGCGACGGCAATACAACCACATTTCAATGTCGGCATACAAAAACAGAATCCATCATTTTTCATATTTTTATTAAGGCCATGCTGTAATGAACCAAACTTACAAATTATATTTGAATAAAAGCGAATAAATTAAGCAAATTAATTAATTCAACATACAAATTGATTTTCAGTCATTTTAGCGAATGGTCATGCAGAAAGTTTGACATTCATACCTTCGCAAAATACATCATCATCATCATCATCATTTAATGAATTACTTGGCTGTTGCAAGTCTTCTGTTTAAATAAAGACAGATTTAAGTCTTTTCATTTATCATTCTGTTGTTAGATTTTAAAGGGGAGTACAAGGTAACACTAGCTAAATATCAAATTTTGCCTTTTGCTTGGCCGTGTGATAATATCTTATGATAAATTTCAGCTACCAGGCAGTATTTTAGTTTAAATTTACATTTACAATGTTATCCTGGGGAAGAGATTCTGGAGAAGCGATACTGGATGCTGCCCTGTAGATGTGGGACTGGATGCTGCCCTGTAGATGTTGGACTGGATGCTACCCTGTAGATGTGGGACTGGATGTAGATGTGGGACTGGATATTGCCCCGGAGGTGATCTTTTAGAGGCATTTAGTAACTCGATAGAGCAATAAACTATAACACATACTTATGGAAGAACAATTGCTGATTTATTTAGGTGACGTTTGGAAGAGTATTCTCTCAACGTATCGTTGAGAGAATACTCTTCCAAACATCGCCTAAATAAATCAGTAATTGTTCTTCCATAAGTATGTGTTATAGTTTATTACCCTGGAGATCTGACATTTGATGCTACACTGGAGATCTGAGATTGGATGCTACCAGGGAGATCCAAGATTGGATGCTATGCTGAAGATCTGAGATTGGTGCTACCATGGAGATTTGAGACTGGGTGCTGCCATGGAAATCTGAGATTGGATGCTATCCTGAAGATATGTGATTGGATTCTACCTCGAAGACCTGTGATTACATGCTTACATCAGATCTCTGAAACTAGAGACCTGTAGAGTGTACCCGTAGAGTGTTAATCTCCTTACGAAATATACTATTCAAAAAAAGTAGGGGATATTTGATTTTTAAGTGTTATTAAAGTCACCTAATGAAACTGACGAAGAAACAAATGACAAAATGAAATGAAGTTCACATTCATCGATTTATTCCAAATGATCGTTAGACTAAGTAAGGCACAGACTGACCATTATAAGGGTAAAATGATACCCGGGGTCAAACAGCAAAGTTACCACAGCATCACAACCAAGTCAGTAACGGGTAAATCCTCCTCTGTTTGCCAAACAAGCATTGATCCGACGTGGCATACTCCTAATGAGAGGTCTAAGGTCATTTTGGTCCAGATAGTCCCATTCCTGTTGCAACGCAGCAGCAAGTTCTTGGACATTGGCAGGACGTTGTTGACGTTGACGTAACCTCTGTCCAAGCATGTCCCAGACATGCTCGATGGGGGAGAGGTCGGGACTCAGTGCTGGCCAAGGTAATGTGGTGATGTTCTGTTGTTGGAGGTAACCTGTAACGATCTTGGCCCTGTGACATCTTGCGTTGTCATCCTGGAAGATGAAACGGCGGCCATGACGTTGTGCGAACGGCACAACATGGACTGCCAAGATGTTGTCCCGGTAGTACTGGCCTGTAACACGCCCTGCAACAACATGTAAAGCCATTCTTCCAGCAACAGTGATGCCTCCCCACACCATAACAGAACCACCCCCAAATCGATCATGTCTGATGACGTTAACGTCTTGGAAGCGCTCGTTTTGACGACGCCACACCCTCCTATGTCTGTCCAAAAAATCAACAGTGAACCTTGACTCATCTGAAAACATCACATTGCTCCAGCGTCGATTATCCCAGTGTTGACGATCCCTACACCAACGACGTCTTGCCTGAATGTGATGATCTCTCAAACAAGGGATCACGCGAGGACGTCGGGCGCGAAGGTGACCCCTATGCAGTCGATTCCGAATCGTCTGGCCACTCACTCTCACACCAGTGTCTGTTTGAAGACGAGCGCTGATCTGATTTGCTGTGATGACACGATTTCTCAAGGCCAAGGTACGGATAAATCGATCCTGGGCTTGAGTTGTCGCCCTTGGTCGACCTGAGCGTGGTCTGTCCTGTACAGATTGTGTATCACGGTATCTGGACCATAGCCTGCTTATGACAGACTGAGAAACATTCATCGTCCGCGCCACAACCGCCTGTGTTGTGCCGATCTGTAGCATGCCAAGGGCACGTAACCTTTCATTTTGGGTAAGCCGACGCATATCAAAATTTGTTTTCTGGTCACTAAAACAATTAAACTGATGTTTCCACCCTGGAATTCAATGCCACAATGACTGTAACATTCAAAGTCAGAGTCGTGCAAATCTTGGGTTGGACCCCCATGATGATCCCAAGCATCACCTGCATTCCATGCGGTAGCTATTGGTGCGTTTGGGCGTCACATGTAACTGGAAATGTTTCTTCTGTTAGGTTCTATAGTGACTTTTTTCGTAGTCATTTGCATATTTTAGTATTATGCCCCCAAAATCAAATATCCCCTACTTTTTTTGAATAGTATAGAAAAGTTTGATATGGACAAGGGATTATAGTACAGTGTATACTTTGAAGAATGCACAACTCAACTTTCTACAATAACCAGCCAGCTCATTAAAACAAGTGAGACTAATGTCACAAGAGATATTTTACCTCCCCTCATGTGATGTTTGCTCTTGTCAATTATAAAATATATCTATCTTACCTATATCAGATTTAGGTCGTGGTTTACGTCGTATCTGTTGGCCATCTTTTGTGTAGAAAGTCTCTTCCTTCTCTCGAACCTGCTCTAAAAGGTCCGCCCACCGTACAGAATATGTTGTATCAGACTTTGGACGTTCTCGATGAGGAGATGGTGATTTACGTAATCTAACTGTGGTTTCGATGTGAGAATTGGCCTCATTTAAAACCTGGAATACATAAGCCAGATAATTATAATATTGCATTTTTCAAATAAAAGTTTTAATACCAAATTACAACTGAAAGAGTTTTTTTTTTTTCTAAACAATATTTTTATTCATTAAATCTGAATTTGGATTGGGGAACAGGCTATGCCTATGTGTAACCCCTCTTTCTGATTTAGATACATGTACACATTATAAAAGTATATACATACATACATAATTACATAAATATAGAACATATAGGATACATAATGGATACTATAGAGACTCTTATTTGATGTTTTTTATTTTGTTTTATAATAAATATTTTAGTGGAAATATTGGTGAAAATCTATTTTATAAAATCTCACAAAACAGTTGAGAGAGGCGAGGATATTAGGCGAGTGTACGATATGGAGGGCTGGAAATAACTTAAGAGTTGTTTTATGGAGAATTAAATCTTTTTGATAAAAGAATAAATTTTTGAACTTCTTGGAAAATAAGTGTGTTTATCTCTGGACTAAGTTTTGTTGACCCATACAACAGACAACTGATTGTTTTATGGTTGTGTTGAAAGTTGTCGATTGTCTGTTTTCTTGCATCTGAATGTAAGGGGCATACAAGTAAATAGTGATCAGGATCTCTTAAGTTGTGACCACAGAGGCAAGCAGGGCTATCATCGACGTGTCTGAGGAATTTATGGCCTTGTAGATTTGAGCAACATAATCTAAGTTTACAGTGCATTATTTGTAATTTTCTTTTCCCTAGATAGTAATATGGTCGCACGGTGGTATCAAATTTGTTTAGTGAATTTCCAAAGATAGCAAGGGATCAAGAGTTTCTAATTTCAAGTTTGCGTTTGTTCCATTCTCGTATACTTGAAGGGATGAAGGACTCAGAGAAAATTTTGGTTCTGCGTCTGATTTCCTTTAGTTTATCTTTGTTTCTAAGAGAATAATTACTAGGATTAAAGGAAAGTTCTAATAAGTCAGAGAGATATGATGGCGAGAGGTTGTTAATAATGTTATACATTAATTTTAATTTATGACACCGGGGTCTTTCCGACAGTGGAACAAACCCAGTCTCTTTGTAGAGCATGGCTAGTACCTCTAGCTGCCCCACAAATAGTGCATAGTGCATCTAATTGAAGGGATTCTAGTTCGTTAGCTAAGTAATCGCTTCACCCATCCCAGATAATATCGGCATAATCAAAGTGTGGAAGGATAAAAAAAGAGTATATTATGTTTAAAGATTTTCCATATAATCGATATTTTAGGGAATGAAGGCAATTTACTAGTTTTGATACTTTGCTTACAATGCTATCTATATGATTATTCCATTTACAGTTTGATTGGAAGATTAGACCTAGATGTTTATGTTCGTTTACTTCTTTGATTTGTACCTGGTTCATAAATAATGGTGGTTTAGCTATGTGGGGTTTAGTAGTAACAGTCAGTGTCTCTGTTTTTAGGGGGTTAAAAGTAACTAGCCATGTCTCGGCCAATTTTTTTATTCAATTTAAGTCAACATTGATGGTAGCAGCACTTGCCCCTAGGCCTTCAATTTTTAAGTATAAAGAGGTATCGTCAGCAAATAATCTGATGTTTGAATTTATATTGTTTACAATGTCATTAATATATTTTAAAAATAAAAGAGGCCCTAGTACAGATCCCTGAGGTACACCAGCAGGGATGCTTCTGGGGTCTGAGGAGGTGCCATTTATGGTTACACATTGTTGTCTATTTGTTAAATAATCTACAAACCAGAGTAATATTTCTCCTCGATTCACCGCAGCATCCAGCTTATGATAGAGTCTGGCGTGCCATACCCTGTCAAAAGCCTTGCTGATATCACAGAAGGCTATTCTAGTGTAATGATGTTGGTCAATGGCTCGACAGAAAAAGTGTGTTAGGTCGATTAGTTAGAATCACCAGGAAGAAAGCCACTCTGGACATGTGGTATGGAGTTATCTCTAAGGAAGTTAAAGACATGATTTTGACTATTATACTTAAGAGGGAGATTGGTCTATAATTACTACAATTGTTTGGAGAGCCTTATTTGAATATAGCGACCACGTTAGCAAATTTACAAATTTTTGGTACAATATGTAGATCTAAAGATAGTTTAAAAAGTTGACAAAGCGGAGGACAGATTTCTTTGGAGATGTATTTTAAAATTTGCGTATTAATTTTGTCCGGCCCTGAGGCTTTTGTGGTATCTAGGCTATCTATTATGTCTTTAACTTCCTCTGGATGTGGTACAATCTTATCGATGCTGTTAGGGTTCATAACAAGTAGTGGTAGAGATTTATTAGTGTCATCTAGTTGTGATTGTTTGATAAAGAATGAGTTTAAGGCATTTGCTTTTTCGGATTGAGTAAACAAAGTGTTACCGTTAACTGTTAATGGTGGTGGTTCGTTTGTAGAAGCAGCATGTGTTTTAGTATATGTTCCAAAATTTTCTGTGTCACTAATGTTTTTGTCTATTTTTCTAATTAAGTCTATGTAGTCATTTCTAATTTTCCGAAAGTTATGCCAATCAGAGTCTAAATTTCTATTTACTGCTTTTTTGTGTAATCTATTTTTCTTCTTTTTCATGCAATTTATTGTGCCATTCATCCAAGGTTTATCATGTTGCCTAATAGTCACTATTTTGCAAGGTATATTTGTTTTTGCTATATTGATCAACGAGCTTGTAAATTGAACACACGATGCTTCTATATTTGAACTATTGATAAGATTGTACCATTTAATAGCTATAATGTCCCTTTTTTATGCCCCCAAGGTCTGCGTTTTCGTAATTCCATACTGTTTGCATGTCGGCTAGTCATATCTTAGTGAGAATCGGCCATGTCGTTCATAATCCGAGTAATTAGCACAAATAATGGTAACTTTGATAAACCGGTAAAAAAAAAAAGCTTGCTGATTATTCATAACAGGTCCAGTAATTTCGTTTGAGGAAATAAGCCACGTGGCAATCAAAGGAAGACGATCTTAGTGAGAATCGGCCATGTGGTTCATAATCCGAGTAATTAGCACAAATAATGGTAGCTACGAGAACGTAGCTAAAAACGTTGAGATATACTGATATGTTTGTTTTTAGCTACGATTGGATGCCTTTAGTTCCAAGTGGCAAAACTCAATTTCTTTATTAATGCATGTAACATCTTTAAAATAGATAAGTTTATGATATTATGATTAATTAAACTTACAGAGGCCAATGTAGTGGCACAACTGTCACCTAACTCCAAATATTCGCGTTTAAATTAATGAAGCGTTGTTTTTGTCTGACATTTCACCGCCATCGAAATCCATTCATAGTTACTGTGCTTTCGATTGTCCTTTTGATTGGCTGTTATAAAAGCCTTATATTTAGCCCCGCCTTCATGATGACAGCGTATCGTTTAAAAAGATGGCGGTCTTAGTAACGGCTTAACGCATCGATTTTAAAAACGACGATTTGTACCCGTTTCAGGTAGGATTATATGCTTAATTGTAGTTGGGTGTTGTAGAAATATTATAAATAACAATAATCAATCGTTGTTTTGATTAAAACTATTGTCAATTTTGTTTAAAAATGCCGGGTGTGAATCACTCCCGCAGGTGCAACGTTATAGGTAATGGCCTCATGTCTTATCTTGAAACATGGAGGGTTGAGAGATTAAGGTTTGTTATCTAAAATAATGGTAACTTTGATAAACCGGTAAAAAAAAAAAAATCTTGCTGATTATTCATAACAGGTCCAGTAATTTCGTTTGACGAAATAAGCCACGTGGCAATCAAAGGAAGACGATCTCGGCATAGATTGTGCATCAATCGCGCGTCTTTGACGTTCCGTATACGGCGTATGAATTCCAGGTGTACTGTTAAATATTAAAATAATAATTTGATCATAATTTAATGGTTTCACTGACCAGTTGTTAGTTAAATATAAATCTTAGTTGAATATTATGAATCTCCAATGACATGTGACATAGGTTGGAATTAGGTCAATAAACCAGCAATGCTAGTTTTAGTTTTAAATAGCGTTTACTGTTATGAATTTTTATTTTATGCACATGCTGACAAGAGACCTAATTTTTAAAATATTGTCGTTATTATTATTGGAAGCTATGTGGCATAGTCATTTTGAATTTAATTTTAAAAGCATTTCAATTATGGTTGTCACGTGATCATTGTCCCGTGTGTGTATCATGGACGAATGAATAAAAACATTTGCAAGTTACTTGATAGGAAAGAACCCTACAAATTGTGTTATATAGATCATTACAATAGCTAGAACCTACTGATTATTATTTGTTCCACGCCTAGTTATTTATTCATATTGCTTCATATACTATTCAAAAAAAGTAGGGGATATTTGATTTTGGGGGCATACTACTAAAATATGCAAATGACTACGAAAAAAGTCACTATAGAACCTAACAGAAGAAACATTTCCAGTTACATGTGACGCCCAAACGCACCAATAGCTACCGCATGGAATGCAGGTGATGCTTGGGATCATCATGGGGGTCCAACCCAAGATTTGCACGACTCTGACTTTGAATGTTACAGTCATTGTGGCATTGAATTCCAGGGTGGAAACATCAGTTTAATTGTTTTAGTGACCAGAAAACAAATTTTGATATGCGTCGGCTTACCCAAAATGAAAGGTTACGTGCCCTTGGCATGCTACAGATCGGCACAACACAGGCGGTTGTGGCGCGGACGATGAATGTTTCTCAGTCTGTCATAAGCAGTCTATGGTCCAGATACCGTGATACACAATCTGTACAGGACAGACCACGCTCAGGTCGACCAAGGGCGACAACTCAAGCCCAGGATCGATTTATCCGTACCTTGGCCTTGAGAAATCGTGTCATCACAGCAAATCAGATCAGCGCTCGTTTTCAAACAGACACTGGTGTGAGAGTGAGTGGCCAGACGATTCGGAATCGACTGCATAGGGGTCACCTTCGCGCCCGACGTCCTCGCGTGATCCCTTGTTTGAGAGATCATCACATTCAGGCAAGACGTCGTTGGTGT